TGGGAGGATAATTGCTGGATCCTAGGGTAGTTTTAGTAGACATTGCTAGTTTCCAAAACGGGGATGCTAAACTCTACTCTATCAGCAATGAGAGTTTCCATTACTGTATTTCTCTCAACATTTGCTATCGTTAGGTTTTTAAAAAAATCCTAATCATTTTGGTGGAAGTATATCAGTATCTCATTGAAGTTTTATTTTGCATTTTCCTAATGTGTGATGATTTATAGCACATTTTCTTATGCTTGTTGTTCATGTAGATATATTGTTTTATGCTGTTTTGCATGTATTTTAAAAATTGGGGATTGTTTGTATATGCAGGTTTCAGGACTTTAATTCTTCAGTATAAATACCAAGGAGTGGTACAGGTGAGTCATATGGTGGTTCCATGCCTAGTCTTTTGAGGAACCTCAGTATTGATTTCCTTAATGGTTGTACTAATTTACAATCCCACCAACCATTTAAAGTGTTCTTTTTTCTCCACATTCTCTCCGGCATTTACTATTGTTTGTATTCTTTTTTAATATAATCTTTATTCTAATTTGTTATATTTGAAATCAGAATACATTGCAATTCATATGAAACATATAGAGCACAATTTTTCAAGTCTCTGGTTGTATACAAAGTATATTCACACCATTCTGCCATTCTGACCGGTATGAGATGGAATCCCAGTGTAGTTTTGATTTGCATTTCCCTAGTTGCTAATGATGTTGAACATTTTTTTTCATACATTTGTTGGCCATTTGTAGCTCTTTTGAGAAGTGTCAATTTAATTCATTTGTCTACTTATTGAGTTATTTGTGTTTTTATGTTGTTTTTTGAGTTTTATATATATATATATTCTAGACACTAATCCTTTGTCAAAAATGTAGCTGGTAAAAATTTTTCTCCCATTCTGTAGGTTCTCTCTTCACATTCCTAATTGTTTCCTTTGCTGTTCAGGAGCTTTTAAATTTGATGCCATCCCGTTTATTAACTTTTGGTGTTGCCTACTGAGCTTTAGGTGTTCTCTTGAGAAAGTGGTTGCCTGTGCCTATATGCTGGAGTGTGGACCTTATGTTCTCTTCTAGGAGTTGTGTAGTTTCTGGTCTAATTTCTAGGTCTTTGATCCATTTTGAGTTGATTTTTGTGCAGGGTGAGAGACAAGGGTCTAGTTTCATTCTCCTACATATGGAAAGCCAGTTTTCTCAGCACCATGTGTGGAAAAGACTGTCTTTGCTCCAGTGTATGTTTTTTGTCACCTTTGGCAAGAATCAGATGACTGTAGATGTGTGGGTTTGTCTCTGTCTTGTATTGCTTACCATTGGCCTCTGTGTCTGTTTTCGTGCCAGTTCCATGAAGTTTTTGTTACTATAACTTTGTAAAATTTGAAGTCAGGTATTGTGATGCCTTTAGCATTGGCTTTTTGGCTTAGGATTGCTTTGGCTATTCTGGGTCTTTTATTTTTCCAAATGAATTTTAGGACTTTTTTTCCCCCTACTTCTGTGAAGAAAGTCATTGGTATTTTGATGGAAATTGCATTGAGTCTCCATATTGCTCTTGGTAGTTTGACCATTTTAACCATATTAATTCTGCCTATCCATGAGCATGGAAGGTCTTTCCATCTTCTTGTGTCTTCTTCAATTTCTTTCTTTGGTGTTCTCTAGTTTTCACTGTAGGGGTTTTTCACCCTATTGGTTAGATTTATTCCTAGATATGTATGTATATATATATATATATATTTTTTTTTTGAGGCTATTGTAAATGGGATTGTTTTCCTGATTTTTGTCTTAGCAGATCCATTGTTGGTGTATAGGAAAGCTATTGATTTTACTATGTTGATTTTGTGATCTTCTACCTTGCTGAATTTGTTTGTTAGCTCTAGCAGTCTTTGGTGGAGTTTGTTTTGGATTTTCTAAGTATAGGATCTGCAGACAGTGATAATTTCACTTCTTCATTTCCTAACTTTATCCCTTTTATTTCTTTCTCTTGCCTAATTGACCTGGTTAGAATTTCTAGCACCATGTTGAATAGCAGTGGTGAGAGTGGACATCCTTGTCTTGTTCTAGATTTTAAAGAAAATGCTTTCAGTTTTTCCCCATTTACTATGAGGTTGGCTTTGGGTTTTTTTGAAGATAGCCTTCATGTTGTTGAGGTAGGTTCCTTTTATCCCTATTTTATTCTTTTTTTTTTTTTTAAATCATGAATGGGTCCTGAATTTTGTCAAAGGTTTTCTCTGCATCCACTGAAATGACTAAGTAATTTTTGTCTTACTTCTATTTAAGTGATGAATTACATTTATTGTTTTGTATATGTCAAACCATCCTTGCATCTCTGTGATAAAACCAACTTGACCATGATGTACAATCTTCTTAATATGTTGTTGATGCAATTTGTTAAGATTTTATTAAGAATTTTTGCATCTAAGTTCATCAGGGATAGTCTTTAGTTTTCTTTCCTTGAGGTGTTTTTATCTGTTTTTGGTATGAGTGTGACACTGGCTTCATAGAATGAACTTGGAAGTGTTTTATCCTTTTCTATTCCATGGGATAATTTGAGGAGCAGTGACATTAGTTATTCTTTTAAAAGTCTGGTAGAATTCAGCTGAAAATCCATCCATCTGGTCCTGGGATTTCTGTGTTGGAAGGTTATTACTGCTGATAGCTCATTACTAGGTATTGGTCTATTTAGAGTATCTATGTCTTTGTGGTTCAATTTTGGTAGGTCATCTGTGTCTAGATATGTATCCATTTCTTCTAGCTTTTCCAAATCATTGAAGTATAAGTTTTCAGAATAGTCCTCCATGATCCCATGGATTCTGTGATGTCAGTGGTGATTTCTCCATTTTCACCTCTAATTTTAGTAATTTGGCTCCTCTCTCTCTTTCTTTTGGTTAGTTGGCTAACAGCTTATCAATCTTGTATATCTTTTCTAAGAACTAACCCTTTAATTCATTGATCCCTGTTATTGCTTATTTATTCTCAATTTCATTGATTTTGGTTCTGATTTTCATTATTTCCTTCCTTATACTGGTTTTGGAATTGGTTTTTAAAAGTTTCTCTCGCCAAATGTTTTGTGACTTTCAGTATTGGGATTTTACACATCTTTTGTTAGGTTTATTTTTATTCTTGATGGTTCTGTAAGTGATATTGTTTTTCTATTTTTATTCCATTTCTTAATTTGCTAGTATCTAGAAACACAATTAATGTTGGTCTCAAATCCAGTTACCTCTCTAAAATTACTAATTAATTCTTATAGTTTATTTAGAAACTCTTTAAAAATTTCTGTAAATAATGGTAGTTATTAGGTTTATTTTTAAAAGTTTCTTTTTATTTTTTTTTAAGTTGTCAATGGACTTTATTTTATTTATTTATATGCAGTGCTGAGAATCAAACCCAGGGCCTCACACATGCTAGGCAAGTTCTCTGCCACTGAGCCACAACCCCAGACCTAAAAATTTCTTTTCCTCACCTATTATATGGGCTAAGATTTACAGCAAATGTTAAATGAAAGAGGTGACAGTAGACATCTTTGTCTTGTTCTCCAATTGAATGGAAAGGATTTACCATTTCATATTTAAGTATAATGTTTGCCATTAGGTTTTTTTTGTTTGTTTGTATGTTTGTATACTTAAGATTCATAAAGTTATTTTCCATAATTTTTCTGGGAGTTAAAAAATCTTGAACAGATATTGAATTTCAATTGTTGAAATTGCTTTTTCTGGATCAATTGAAGTTATCATGTTTTCCTCCTTTCTTCCTGTCAATGTGGTGACATACATTTTCTGATTTTTAAAAGCTAAAAAATTCTTGCTTTCCTGGAATAAGTCACACTTAGTCATGACATATTATCTCTTTTACCTGTTGCCGGATTTGAATTGCTAATGTTTTGTTGGCGTTTTTTCATCTATGTCAATGAGAGATATTGAGATATTATATATATATATATATATATATATATATATATATATATATATATTGTAATGTCTTCATCAGTTTTTTTGCATCAGGATTATGCTGTGGTTTTATATAGCAGTGTGTTTTGTTTTCTTTATTCATTGAAAGACTTTGAGTAAGTATGATAATATTCTTCCTTAATTGTATGTTTTGAACAACTTGTGAGTGAAGTCATCTAGATTGATTTTTTCTTGGCTGGGAGAATCATCTTGAAATGTTTTTACTTTTGGTGTTTTTATTAGAGCATTATATTGTACATAATATTGAGGTTCATTTTGACATAATCACACAAGCATGGGTATAATTGGCTCCACTTCAGTTTCTAGTAATTTCCCTTCCCTCTCCTCCTCCAGCCCTCTGTTCTCTTCTCTACCATACCTATCTTCCTCCTATTTATTTATAGTATTTTTAACATTAGTGATTTATAAATGTACAGAAATGTGAGATTCAGTGTGGTATATTCATATTGTACACGGCATAACTTGGTCAATTTCATTCCTCTCTTCCTGTCCTTCCTCCCTCTTTCTCAATCCCCTTCCTCTGTTTCCATAGGATGCCCTATTTTGGTCTAGCTTCCACATATTAGAGAAAATATTTGACCCTTGGCTTTCTGAGTCTGGCTTATTTCACTCAGCATGATTTTTTCCAATTCCATTTACTTATCAGAAAATACCATAATTTCATTCATCTTCATGTCGGAGTAAAACTTCATTTTATGTATCTATTCATCTGTTGATGGGCACATGGGCTGGTTCCATAACTTGTTATCATGAGTTGTGCTGCTATAAACATTGATGTGCCTGTGTCACTATGTTATGCTGATTTTAGTTCTTTTGGTGATCAGATGGTGGTTCCATTCCAAGTTTTTTGAGGAATCTCCATAGTGCTCTCCAGAATTTGCAGTTCCACCAAGAATGTTGAAGTGTAAATAAATTTCCCCACACATTCTTGCTGGCATTTATTATTAGTTGTATTCTTGAGGATTGCCATTCTGACTGGAGTGAGATGAAATCTCAGTTGAAATCTTGATTTTTTTTTCTATCATTGTATTTTTTTTTCCCTCAGGATGTTTGCAATGGTCAAGAATAAGGAGATATTTTGTGATATATTTTTCAACCACTTCAAGAAAAATAAAGTGGAGATAGCAACTGCAATAACAAAGCTGTTTCCTTTCCTAGAGGGCCTCAGAGACCGATCCTTTATCACCGAACAAATCTATGCTGTAAGTGAGTTCATTACATCACCCCACAGTGACCCAGTCCCACATTAATTCCTGTTTGGCTTCGTGGATTCAAAGCTTAGTAGGTCACTCACTGGCTGAGACGCCTTTTATGCTTTGTGTGGGAAGACTCCTTTATCTCCGTCACCTGACGAGGCAGAAGATGACAGAACAAGAAGAGGTCATTACAGGCACCTCTGTTTCTATCCAAAACTCTTGCCTGAGGCACAGGTGGGGGTGGGGATGGATGGCAATGGTGATATGACTCAATGAAATTCATAAGCAAGGTTAAAATAATCAAGAGCTGCATTTTACTGGATTGTTCACATGTGTTCAATAAAATACTGAGGGAATTTGTGCCATGATAAAACAGAATCATGCCTTGCTATGGTCTCCTGCAAGGTGTTTTAATTTTGTCAGGTGATTCTGCAGCGTTGGGGTTCAATAAGCTTGGTCAGTGGGCCCTCCTGGCGACATGGAGGGGGAAGCCATCTCTTCCCTGTGGGACTGTGCCCTTCCCTTTGTGTTCTTCACAGCAAGGGCAGAGCCCCCTCCCCACTCCTTAGAGCACTCCAGGACTTCTCATACCCAAGATGGGGTGTGGGTGGAGGATGGGGAGGGTCCCGTGATTGCCGCGTTGTCAACAGAATCACTACAAATCCATTCTTGGAACGTCCTAGGCTGGATGAGAATTTGAAAGTCAAGAGACAGGGCTTACTTGTTCTTTTAAAACAGGTGATCAAATATTCAAGAAGTTCTAAAATATTACATGAAAAATTAGAGTCTATTGCACTGAGAAAATAGAGCTTCTATGTGATGACTTCCTCTGTTTGACTTCAAAGCTATGATTTATAAACTTTTTCCATTGATTTTTTTTGAAAGGATTCTCAAGAAGCCTTTAGAAACCTGGTTCCTGTAGCCAGAGTGGTGTACCGTGTTCTTGGCCACCTTGAGAAGGTGTTTGATTGGTCACTTCTACAAACCCTGTTCAGCAAAGTGAACCTGAAGGAGTACCCTGGCTTAATACAGATTTATAAAACCTTTGAAAATGGTAACGAATTCTCTCCTCTCCCTTTGGTGTCCAGCGCTACTTTTCATTCATTCACTTAACAAGCATTCATGAAAGGCTGGCTGTGTCCCAGGGCCTGTACCGGGCAGTGTGAACCTAACTAGTCTGGTGTCCTGGCCTCCCCTCATTGACCACATTCCAGGCTCCTGGTTAAGGCAATCCGGGACATTCCCCAGTGTAGGGGCTTCACTCCTGCTCTAGCTGCCGGAGTCCTGCCTTTGCTGCTGGGACCTGGGCCTCCCCTGTATTTCCTTCCCACATCCTCTGTTAGGTCTCTTTGGGATCTTTTCATTCTTCTTACCCAATGAAGCCCAAACTCTCTCCTTCTCTAGCTCCATCTTTAAAGCCATTGACCTTTTTCTTTCATATAGATCATATAGATCTCTCTAGGACCTTAGGCTTCTTCAGAAATCCCTGTTTCTTCCCTAAGGTTTGGACAATTCATAGGAATGTTCCGTCTGTAGAATTTTAATTGAGATAACCTTTCACTCCTTCCTGACCATCGTGTCGGGCTATCAATTATTCATCATTTTCCACTACTTCACCATCCTTAAAAACTGAGAGGTTCATCACCTGCAGGATTTCAGTGGTTTTGTTTCTTCCCTTGGCTGTCCAAGAGGAAGGGATAAAGTATTTTGAGTCTTGAGCCATAGAAATTGAGAGTTACCAAGGGTTAGGAACTCCCCACTGAAAAATACGAATTCCCAGGTGCTCCCTCCGAGTAATTGTGAGGTGATATTCCCGATCTCCTGCCTGAAAACTCTGTTTATTCCCCTCTGTTCAGTGTTCCAAGAAAAATATGTTTCCCAGAGAGGAGACCCGGAAGGAAGGCCACAAACGTCCATCACTCAGCCAAGCCGTGAGCAAGGTACTTAGGACCGAGTACAAACTTGGTTTTCAGGTTGACTAAGAGGAAAAGGAGACCGGGGACTAAGCTGGGTGAGGAAGGATGGATGCTGGGGGGAATCCAGGGGAGGTGGTGAAGGTAGATGAGTGTTGATTTAGGTTGATTCCAAAATGGCCTGACTCCGTGAGGTGGCAGAGAGACTTTCTGTCCAATAGTCCGTGGGTGGGGTGGACGGGGAATCTGATGAATGACGAGTTCGAGAGTGCCTCTGCGGGAAGCTTCCAAGGGCTCAGAGTAGGGGCCTATCAAGATCAGTGTCCAAGAGGAGCCCTCGTGATGGCAGGAGAGACTGGCATAAATGTGGCAGCTGGGCTGGGGGGCAGCTCAGCGGTGGCCTGCCTGCCTAGCGCTGCAGGGCCCTGGTTCAACCCCCAGCACCCCCGTAGGTCAACAGTGAAACAAATGAACAAGTCAATAATGAGGTGGTTGTTGTTCCAAAGCAGGAATGCTTCCGAGAAAAGCTGACCCAAAGAGAGACCCAGGGAGGAAGGGGCAGAGGTTTGGGGAGAGGAGAGGGTGCTTGAAGAGAGAGAAGCGGGAAGGAGGGGAGAAGTGAAAGGGAGAGAGTGAAGGACGCGCACAGGAAGGAGGTAGAGAAGCTCGCTCTGACTGAGCCCACCCTGGGCTTTTGTGGATCTGTGCTCAGGCCGCCGCTGGAGGTGTTGTCACTTACTGTCCTCTGGTCCGATGAGGAAGTTGAAATCTGGAGGGACCATGGACGGTATTTGCCTGGGGTCAGACGAGCAAGGGAGAACCCGGGCATTCTGAACCCAGAACCTGTGTTCTTAGCCCCATGCTGCTGCCCGGGTTGTCTAATGAAAAAGGCAGAAACATGAAACCAAAGGGAAGAGGTGCAGACAGAAAGATAAAGGAAACAGAGGATGCCGGGAGAGGGAGGAGTGAGGCAGACCAGTCGCTGATCCCCACTGGAGGCCACCAAGGAGGAGGCAGACCAGTCGCTGATCCCCACTGGAGGCCACCAAGGAGGAGGCACAGGCTGTGCCAGGAGGCTGTGGTGTGGGACAGCGGGAACCAGGCGGCCAGGGCTTCTAGGAACTCAGGTAGGGCCAAGGGGCAGGCCAGCTGGAGACAAAAGCAGGCCATCTCCAGGTGCCAGAGTGCCTCACAGAGGACCCTAGTGAGGGGGCCCAGTGAGACCCTCAGACAGGGCTGCAGCTGACCCAGACCCCACTCTCAAGACTGAAGTCAGGAGGGAACTTCCAGCTCCAGATGAGTCTGGATTCACACTCTGAGGGGTCTCTACCATCTGCACTGTAAAGACAAAAGAGAGAATGGCAAAACCCATCCTTCAGTTTCTGAGATCAACTTCTAATTTCTTTCCCTAGGAACGGGAGAGAACACGTTTCTGCGAAGACTGACCTGGCCACAGCACTTAGATCCCTCGTCTTACAATGGTCTGTTGCTGTTGCCTCTTGTGGGACCCTTTGCTGTCTTACTCCATTCTGGAATGTTCTGTGAGGCTGCTTCCTTGCTTGACTGATTGCCCAGAACTTTCAACCTTTGCATCTGTAGCTTCAGGATGTAAACAGGAGGGTCTTGAGCCTCTGAGTTACCTAGGAAGGATTCTGGGCCTAAATAGGTGGTTAACTTATCAATGTATTAAAAATTTTGATTTTGATTCATAATGTCACAATGTCATATTTATGAAACCAGAATGTCATCTAGGAGCCATCCTGTTTGGAACTAGAACTAGAACCTCAGAACCTGTCTGGGATGTAAAGTCAAAGCGTATAAAGACAGAACAGCCTATCTGCAGCCCAGAGAAGGCTCTTGGAACTCAACAAGAAAATTATGACTGTGCCCAAGCAGGTAAGGCTGATGATGTTCTGGCACTTACATGGTGACCAGTGGAGGGCACTGTACTATAGTCAGGAGCAGGGGCCGAGTCGCACGATCAGTGTGAACCCCAAATGACAGCAGGAGAATGGACCAGTGTCCGGTGCAAGGAGCCAATGACATAACAGAAAAGAATACCTTACAATTCCTGAGGGGAGGACAGAAAAAATCCCAGAGACAGAGAAAATAGGATTGGAGACTGGAATAGAGAACCGGAGAGTTTGGAGTAAGGAGCAAGCTGGGACCGTCTCTGGAGGTGAGGGAGAAGGGAAATGGATGGCAGGAGAAGTCAGGGCGAGAGAAGCTGGTGGAGCCCAGGAAGCGAGAGGCTTTCCTTTGGTAGAAACCGCAATGTCTGATCCTGGTTCCTGGTGGCAAATTGAGAAGGAGAGAGAGAGAATGAATCTAACAAGGTGGAACGCAGCAGCTCAGAGCAGGACTTGACCGGAGCCTGGCTGGGCTCCTTGGCGAGGAGTATGTCCTGTGTGGTGTCCAAGTGTCCAACCTCAGAGCCCCGGAGGGTCACACCGTGGTTATTTCTCAGCCGTGGTGCTGGTCACTCCTTTCCTTTGATCTCTTCAGTTGCTGGTGAATTCAGTGCTCTCCCAATGAAGAGAGAGGAAGGGTCGGAAGAGAAGCCCATTCCCCTGCAGCGAGGCGGACAAGGTAACTGGGCCTGAATCCCACATTTTAAACAACCTGTTACCTGATTAGATCACCGTGTGGAGGAAGAAGAGTCTTTCACCCCAACTCCCTGCACCCCCCTTGGCTGAGAGCCACTGCTGCTGCCCCTAGATGCAGCCAAGCAGCCACACTAGGCTCGTGGGACAAGGCATGGTGAGGGCCGGGCACCACTGCTGCTGCCTCTGCAGCCTCCATACTTGGTAGGGCTGTCATTGTTGCAGTGACAGCCACCCTGGTTCTCTGGCTGCTGAGGCAACGCTGCTTTAAATAGAGCTGCTCACTGGGTTGCCCTCAAGACATTTGCTGGGGATTTTCCACCACCTCCTGCAGTGGTGGTGGTGAGCACCTCCCCCACCTCATGACAGCTGACTGCCGAAGACTCAGCACCCATGTGCAAACCCCAGTGCTGAGAGCTCAGAGTGGCACGATGGTGCAGAAATTCTGCATTTAGCAGCTAACTGCTCCTCCTGGAGCCCGCCCCTTTTGCCTATATAAGCTTGGTTTTTCTCATCTTTTGAGTGTTAGTCCGGGAAAGCTCCATCCCAGGTACTACCTCCCTTGTGCTGCAGCAAAAGCCCCATTTAAGTTCATTCAGATGCTTTGATTTTGCCTATTCACGATTTCTATCTCAGACTGCATCCTGGTCGGCCAAGCTGGTCACACTAGGAGCTGTTAACACTGAAGGCTGGTGAGGGGCGTTGCCAGCTCTCGGAGTTGTTAACACTAAGAGCTGAGAGCTGATCCACCAGCAATTTCTATCAGCTTCCATCTTCCTTAGCCAAGTGGCCCCAGTTACATGTTGCCAGCTCAGACCTGTCCTCTCAGCTCCCTCACCTAATAACCTGAAATCTCCCCATGAACCATCTTGCTTGGATGCCTTCCAGAAATCTCAGGTTCAGTGCTACCTTAAAAAACTAGGTCCCCCTCCACCTGATCCTCCTCCTTCTCCTTTGCCAGGGTTTTCTCTTTGGTAATGTGGACAAGTGTCCAGTTTTTCAAGCAAAATCTCAGGAGTTCTTCTAAGTCCTTCTGTCCTCCAGCTTCAGGTCCCATCGGTCACTCAGTCCTGAGGGCGTGACCCAGCAATAACATGGCCATTTTTTCTTTCTGTTGCCGGGACTGTAATGCAAATCAGATTGCTGATAACTCTCTCTTGAACTTCAGCTGGTGGTGCTTACAGAAGTAGGATGTGTTCACGCCACTTTTCTACCTAAACCCCAGTGTCTTTAACAAAGCTTGGGATTCATGGAATGTCCTTCACTAGGCTCCCAAGGCTCAGGCCACACAATCCTTCCTGTTTCCCCAGCCTCGATTCTTTCACTCCAAGAAGTCCTGCTGAGCCCCGTGATACTCCAGTTGCTTCTGCCCTCGCTCTGCCTTCTATTTGGATCTGTTTTCTTGGCTTCTTTCCTAATTTGGCGGTCTCCTGCTTACGTGATACTTCCTTCAGAAGCCTCTTCCTGGTTCTCACCCAGGACTGCAGGTTTGCAGAGTGCTTCTCGCTTCCTATGAGGCAGCACTCACAGTGCCAAAGTGGTGAGCATGTGCCATCTGTGGTGGACTGTGTGATCACGAGGCAGGGACCACATCTGACCTCTTCCTACTGTGTCCTCTGAACCTAGCACGGGATCTGGTACATAATAAAACCTCAATTACTATTTATCAGGAAATGAAAGTATTCACATTTCAGTACCCTGAAAATTGGACACATATTTTGGTAAACATGATACTATTGATGTATTCATATTGAAAGCTTTACAAAAACAGTTTTAAGGATTGCATTTATACTTAGAGTTGTCCCTCAGTATCAGTTGTTCCTCCTCATGGATATCAAAATCAGGGACGTTTGAGTCCCTTATATAAGATATTATAGTATTTGCCTATACAAATGCTCCGGTATACTTTAAATCATCTCCAGACAACTCATAATACCTAATACACTATAAGTGCAATGTAGTTGGTTTACTCTATTGTCTAGGAGATAATGATGAGAAAAATAAGCTTATACATGTTGAGTATAGATGTAATATATTTTCCCAAGTATTTTTGACCTGTGTTTGATTGAATCTGAGGATGCAGAACCCCCAAATTGGAGGGTCCACAGTGTATGTAATAAGCTACCTTTGTGAAAATTATCATAAGAATTAAGAACTTAAGATCTTTTTTTATTATTTGTTCTTTTTAGTTATATATGTCAGTAGAACATTTTGACATATTAAACTTACATGGAGTATAACTTCCCATTCTGTGGTTGTACATGATGTGGAGTTACACTGGTTGTGTATTCAATATGAACATAGAAAAGTCATGTCTGATTCATTCCACTGTCTTTCCTATTCCCATCCCCCTGCCCTTCCCCTCTTCCCCCCATTTATTGTTACGTGTATACTTGATGATTGCCATTCTGACTGGAGTGAGATGAGATCTCAGTGTAGTATTGATTTGCATTT